AGCAGTAGGTCTCAACATACATAAAGGAAAAAGCAAAATTCTCCGATGCAACACAACATGCACCAACCGGATCACGCTTGATGGAGATGCCTTGGAGGACGTTAACACCTTCACATATCTGGGCAGCATCATCGACGAGAAAGGTGGATCGGATGCAGATGTGAGGGCGCGGATTGGCAAAGCGAGGGCTGCATTTCTACAACTGAAAATTATCTGCAACTCCAAACAACTTTCAACCAAAACCAAAGTCAGGATTGTCAATACAAATGTGAAGACAGTTCTACTGTATGCAGCGGAAACATGGAGAACTACCAAAGCCATCATCCAGAAGATACAAGTGTTTATTAACAGTTGTCTACGCAAAATACTTCGGATTCGTTGACCAGACACCATCAGCAACAACGTACTATGGGAGAAAACAAACCAGATTCCAGTGGAGGAGGAAATCAAGAAGAAGCGGTGGAAGTGGATAGGACACACATTGCGGAAAGCACCCAACTGCGTCACGAGACAAGCCCTCACATGGAACCCTGAGGGTCAAAGGAAAAGAGGAAGGCCAAAGAATACATTTCGCCGAGAAATAGAGAAAGATATGAGAGGAATGAACAAACATTGGACAGAACTGGAGAGGGAAGCCCAGGACAGAGTTGGTTGGAGAAAACTGGTGGGCGGCCTATGCTCGATTAGGGGTAACAGGTGTAAGTAAGTAAGTAAGTACATTTTTTACAGAAAAAATAAAATAAAACTTTTCCATTTGTTTAAAAATATTAAGCGTTTATGATAATACACTTGACTTTTTGACTTTCTGTTATTAGATTTCAGGTTGAGCAATTTGTTATTGGTTTGATTGTTTCTTTTGTATAATTTTTTAACTTAAAGAATATTTCTATTGTGCAATTATCAAAAATATATATAAGTATTTCTCTTATCATTAATTGGTAAATTCTACGGTCTTATATTGAATATCTGTGGTGCCTCCATATATATATTCCAGTTCGCTTATATTGAATTTGGTTAAGTCCTTTTGATGAATTTATTTAACCAAGCTATTTGTAAAACAATAACTTACATGTGCCATTGGCTTTTATTATTGTGTGATTTGTATGAACTTGTTTGTATGACTGAGCATTGCTTACGCCTACGCGCTGACTCATCCTTCTCGCTTTAATGTTAATCTCTTAATGAACTCACGTGACTTGTCTCGCTGACCTTTGTTGACATTGTCAGTCATTCGTCGCTTTTATTCTTGTCTGTGCATGCCTATTTCGCTTGTCATATGTCTGTCTTATTTTTGTCTGACTATATAGTCATACTCTATTTCTGGGAGTTGGCTTAAAAGCCTTCTCCAGTTCTCCAGTCGCTTCATTTGTTTTATTCACTGCTTCTCCGATTCGCTTTGTGGTGTGTGTCCCGAATAAACGTATTCATCACTACGAATTCATCTTCTGATTTATAAACCGTCAGATGCTATTTGGCAACGATTGTTTGAATGAGCTTAAGAACACGCATTAAATCGACACACTACATATCTTTTCAATATTCAATTGTTTTTGCCACCTTTTTTTCTCAATTTATGTTTATGCATATTTACACAGATGAAAATGATTTTGATTGATTGATTTTTCTTGACACAAACAGTTACGCAAATATTTATTTAAGATAATATAAATATATAAATATATAAATATATATATATATATATATATATATATATATATATATTCACTTGTTTTCAATAAAATTCTTTTTAAAAAATTTTAAAATGTTTATTTTTTTGTCTAGTAATAACAAAATGCATCCAAAGTAAATAATGTTAAGTTGTGTTTTTTTTGTTTTCGTGAATGAATGTGCGAACTTCGAAAAACAAAGAATGTCTGTCTCCTTCCTATTTTTTTTAGAACCTTTCGATAGAAACAACACTTACAAAATCTACAGAAATCGGATTAAAAGATAATTAAATAATCACATTGTTTCAAGGAATCAGGGCTTGATATTTTTGAGCATCTCAGCATTCATGAAATTGTTATCCATTAAAAAAAACTTTTCACCTTCAAAAAATACTTGTAAGATTCATAATTTGAAGGCTTTATTTATGAAAATCCCTCCATGTATATACATTTGTAATATGTCCTTATTGAGATTCATTCAGTTGTATATTTTGTTAATCTGTTCAATTCCATTTTGAGATGACAATATTTGTATTTTATTATAGTTTCTACTTTTTGTGCCTTCACTGAGTTTCTATGTTTCTTTCTGAACTGCATTTTTGTTGTTTAAGCTGATACTTAGTCATGGCGACAGCCATACTGATTTGTTCCTCTGTTGATTGTGTTGATTGCATGGACTGGAAGTGTACATTTTGATTGTAAAAATCGAAGCACCCTTCCAGAATAAGAAGCACTCTGTTATAATGTGACTAAATATTATCATTTGAATGAATCTGATCTATCCAAGAGGGGGGATAGAATATAATTCATTTGAATAATTAAACAATTCTTGGTGGAATAACTGAGTGGCAATTTTTTTAGGTAATGATGTGTATTTTATATTTATGATGAATACTAGAACCGTTATTTACCCAAATCACTTGTTTAGGATTTAAACTGGGATAGACGTGTATCTAAACTACCTGTATAGTGAAGGAGAACACAGGTGAGGGCATCCGAATTCTATTTAACGATAATTACAGAGTTACTCAGTAAAATAGGAAAACCATATCGTAAACGGTTAATTTGCAAATCTTCAATCCATCATCAATCCATTGTCTGACATTTCACTTATTCATGCGTTTCATACAAATTCCATTGTGTTGTAACTCTTCCTTGCTTGATGTTCCCCCATCTTCTGCTGCCAGACATTATGTTTACACTCGCGTCATATACTACTTATAAGTAGAGCGCACCACACTTGGACAGTTAATCCTCATTCCAAACACCTCAGTTTGAATTCTACAATACTTTTTCTACACGGCATTCAAATTCAATCACCGGAAAGAAAATAATAAGAAAAATTCAAAATAAATAAATAATATTCATAACACTCACTAGCTACCATCCACAGTGAAATGGTATTATGTCACATAAATACTTCCACAGTGTATAAACAGCAATGACTCTAGATATGTATCTAATAAGTTAGGATCAACTTTTGCCAGATTTTACATTTAGCGAGATAATTCTAGACAAACGAGTAGAGATTCAATGGTTCGAAACCATAAGAAATGCAAAAATGTCTTAGTTGAGCTTTCAATTTCATAATCGAAAACCTCATATGCGCTGATACAAAATTGTGGTAACACAGATCATTAAAAAATAATGAAGACATTAAATACCAGGTGAACGACAGACACTACAATGCTCTTCAAAAACATTGTCAACGATAAATTTCGAGAAAAAAATTTCAGTATTTCGAGAATAAACTATTGACAAATGGTCATAGTGTAGTGAAGGAGAACACAGGTGAGGGCAACCGAATTGTATTTAACGAAAATTACAGAGTTACTCAGTAAAATAGGAAAACTATATCGTAAACGGTTAATTTGCAAATCTTCAATCCATCATCAATCCATTGTCTGACATTTCACTATTCATGCGTTTCATACAAATTCCATTGTTTTCTAACTCTTCCTTTCTTGATCTTCCCCCATCTTCTGCTGCCAGACATTACGTTTACACTCGCATCATATACTACTTATAAGTAGCGCGCACCACACTCGTCGTCGTAGTCTTTCTGATTGCCGTACCGCTGTCATCTTTGGTGCTTTTCGTGACTCATACACTTGATAATCTTGAAACCATCTCTGCAGTTGACTAGCATTTACGCGCTTTTGCTTGTCTTCTCTCCGAATCGTGTAAACCGCTCCGTGTCTCTCCTTGATAACTTACGGTCCTTCACACTTTGGGATCAGCGAAATCAATGGTAGCTCTTTCTCCCAATCTCCTCCTTTAGACGCTAACGTATTCCTTTAACGTCCGGCTGTTTCTCTCTGTAAGCCCGTTTATTTGCGGATGATACGGTGTAGTTCGTATCCTCTTGATGCCAAACTGCTTTAGACGGGCTTTAAACTCGTCACTTTCAAAATAGTATCGATCGGTTTTAGATCACTTGACTTTAAAAGCCAATAACTAGTTGCTTCAATAAGCGAAATATGTCAACTTAAGAAATAAATCAGGAAAAATATGTAAAAACTAACGAAATACTTTAACTGCGATATTCCTGACGAATCGTAAATCAGAAAAAAAACGTATATCCTTGATTGTAAATACTACATACCCAATACTCCAACATTAAATAAAACTTGTAACTAACTAACTAACAATATAGAGTTAATCGCCGCCGCAGGATACATCATACATGTCAATAGAAATCGATCAACTCTAATTCATAATATATCCTATTCTATTTTTCTCTGAGACAAAAAAAACCAGCTTACGCTAAGATATGAAACGTTAGAAATTCAATTTTCTATTCAACAAGCAAGCCAATGTCAATATATTAATTTATCACTCTATTATTGTGTAAATAGAAAAGAATGGTAACGGAAAATATATATATACTCAAATTGTTTATTGAAATAAATTATTTTGCAACGTCAATGTCAATTCATTTATAATTTAATTTTGCATTTCATCTTTCAATAGTGTTCAATTGTACCGTTTTTCAGTAATGACAATTAATTTTAACGCAAGTAGTATCCTTCCATTCATTTCACGGAATCATTGTTTTTACTTCTTAAAAATCAGATTTATTTCATATTGACCAGTAAAATGCATTAGTCTCGGACAAAAAAAAATAATAAGGAAATGTGAGTTTTATAGAAATAAACTAGTCCGTCTAGGTAGATTTGACATTGAATTTTTAACTAACTAACTAACTAATAGCATTTGTCTCATAGGTATGATTGATTTTGGAGTTGATTGAAAAAAATAATCATAGCTAAATAAAGTTGGTTAATTTGAGAGAGATATTTTGTGTTTTCTAAGTTTGACAGCAGCATACAAATGAATTTCTCAGCCTCTTTCTATGCAATATCATCATCATCATCATCATCATCATCATCATCATCATCATCATCATCATCATCATCATCATCATCATCATCATCATCATCATCATCATCATCATCATCATCATCATCATCATCATCATCATCATCATCATCATCATCATCATCATCATCATCATCATCATCATCATCATCATCATCATCATCATCATCATCATCATCATCATCATCATCATCATCATCATCATCATCATCATCATCATCATCATCATCATCATCATCATCATCATCATCATCATCATCATCATCATCATCATCATCATCATCATCATCATCATCATCATCATCATCATCATCATCATCATCATCATCATCATCATCATCATCATCATCATCATCATCATCATCATCATCATCATCATCATCATCATCATCATCATCATCATCATCATCATCATCATCATCATCATCATCATCATCATCATCATCATCATCATCATCATCATCATCATCATCATCATCATCATCATCATCATCATCATCATCATCATCATCATCATCATCATCATCATCATCATCATCATCATCATCATCATCATCATCATCATCATCATCATCATCATCATCATCATCATCATCATCATCATCATCATCATCATCATCATCATCATCATCATCATCATCATCATCATCATCATCATCATCATCATCATCATCATCATCATCATCATCATCATCATCATCATCATCATCATCATCATCATCATCATCATCATCATCATCATCATCATCATCATCATCATCATCATCATCATCATCATCATCATCATCATCATCATCATCATCATCATCATCATCATCATCATCATCATCATCATCATCATCATCATCATCATCATCATCATCATCATCATCATCATCATCATCATCATCATCATCATCATCATCATCAGCATCATCATCATCATCATCATCATCATCATCATCATCATCATCATCATCATCATCATCATCATCATCATCATCATCATCATCATCATCATCATCATCATCATCATCATCATCATCATCATCATCATCATCATCATCATCATCATCATCATCATCATCATCATCATCATCATCATCATCATCATCATCATCATCATCATCATCATCATCATCATCATCATCATCATCATCATCATCATCATCATCATCATCATCATCATCATCATCATCATCATCATCATCATCATCATCATCATCATCATCATCATCATCATCATCATCATCATCATCATCATCATCATCATCATCATCATCATCATCATCATCATCATCATCATCATCATCATCATCATCATCATCATCATCATCATCATTTTATACTTCAAAATGAAGTGAACTGTCAAATTTCTTTGATGGCTTAAAACTACTAGACTGATTGTTATTCACAATTGTACAGCTGTTGTTTATAATGATTGTTTTTTGTTATTCGACTGTGGATAGATTCTAATAGATCACTATTGTTTTCAAATATGAGCTTATGATGTTGTTCAAAAAGGACATAAGAAAACTTCATGACTTCATGATCATCCAGCTAAGAGAGTATAATACCTCCAAGATAATAGATCTAATCGATCATCAGTTGAATGATACACAAAATCATGAGATTTGTAGAATCATTGGATAAACCAGACATCTAGTTATCATTCTGATGAGGTTACTTAACCAAAAGAAAATTTGAATTATTTTTCCAAATATCATTGCTGGTATGGAATAATAGTTTTGTTTAATTGCATCTAGTCTGAATCATAAAAACCAAATCCATATAACAACAACATTAAGGTGTATTATTTAATATGAATTAATGCTAACATTTACATTGATCAATGAGAACGTTTTCAGTTCAAATCAAATTTTTTTAACTATACACATACATGAATAATCAAAAATTATTCATGTTAAGTATCTTGGTCGCAAACTGAAATTAATAAATAGTTAAGTATAATTGTATACAAAACATTAAGTGTTTATTAAAGATAGTTTCTTGTTGATCAATCAGCTAAGCGTATGCTTTATCAAATCTAGACCTTGAAAATAATATTGATTTTCTCAATAACTTGATTATTATTTCATTTAATTCAGTCAATCAGTCGATTTGACAGTGTATTTATTATACATGCTAGATTTGTAAATACACGAAGTTCTAACGATTAGCACTTAGTAAGACAGTTCTACTGTAGTGAAGGAGAACACAGGTGAGGGCATCCGAATTCTATTTAACGATAATTACAGAGTTACTCAGTAAAATAGGAAAACCATATCGTAACCGTTAATTTGCAAATCTTCAATCCATCATCAATCCATTGTCTGACATTTCACTATTCATGCGTTTCATACAAATTCCATTGTGTTCTAATTCTTCTTTTCTTGATCGTTCCCCATCTTCTGCTGCCAGACATTACGTTTACACTCACGTGCTATACTACTTATAAGTAGCGCGCACCACACTACTGTATTGGACGGAAAGTTGCAGAACTACGAATGTCATTATCTGGAAACTACACAGTTGTTTACACAAGATACTAAGGATCCGCTTGCCAGACATCATCAGCAACAAGCTACTATAGGAGAGAACAAACCAGATTCAAGGTGAGTAGGGTACACGTTGCAGAAATCACCTAGCTGTATCACAAAGCAAGCCCTAACTTGGAATGCTCATGGAAAAAGGAATAGAAGAAAGCCAAGGAACGTATCACATGGAGAAATGGAGACAAACATGAGAAGAATGAACGAAAATTGGAAGGAAAGCTCAGGAGAGAGTAGGCTGGAAAATACTGGTCAGCGGCCTATTCTCCATTCGGGGTAACGCGTTAGTATGTAAGTACTTAGCAACTTACCCTTGCTTTTTTGATTTACGAAATTATTTCATATGATCGTGAATATTAATTAGTATTTCATTGTATTCATTTTTAACAAATTTAAGAAAAGTACAAACGGCAATAAGGACGACAGTTTATAAAAGCTTAAACACTTTGTAATGAAGGAGAACTTCATTTTACATAATAACTTTCACAACTATCTAATATTCTTCCAGGTTTCCAGTGGCGGTCTAACAATGATTGATTGATTATTTCAAATGTGTGTAAAAACGCAAACCTCCAAAACTGTTCCCCAAGATATTTATTTAAGTAAAAATACTTGATTCAATTTTTAAAATACTGAAATCACGAAAAAATATATACTCATGGTTGAAATCGTTTTAATAAATGCTGTTTTTAAAGGTAAATGTATCTACTAGTTACAAAGAAACTTCATTACAACAAATTATTGATCATGATGGATTGGATTCTGTCCAACATTCAATAGACAACTGATTCCATATTTTTGAAATCAACTACTAAAGCTCCATGGACCACTCAGCCTACCTTCACACAGTCATAGAATACATCTGTACATATTACTTGATATAAGAGTATTAAAGAACAACACAGATAAGCGAACAATATTGTTTTCGATTAGATCGTCATCAGGCTTTACTCTAATATATATGAATATTTATATGAAAATGTTAAACCAATCAATCAAGGCAATTTGAGTCATAATCACAATGAAATGAAAAAGGCAAAAGTACAAGTGGATAGTACGAAGATAGGTGAACCGATAGTAGTAGGAAAATTTATAAAATATGATAACTAAAGTAGGTCAAAGGTGAATGAATAGAATTCAAATAATCATCAAAAAACATCAGAAAAAAACATTACTTAATATGCAAATGTGTAAAAATAAAATGAAAAATCAAAAAATAATAAAAATATCTCAATCATTAGTTACGTCATATCCGGCCACGGAAGAGATAGGGGTGTCACGAATTTCTTCTGAACACATAAATTGGGGTTGAATGTACGTATTCCTATGGCTTCTGCAATGTATAGGAGACGGGATGGAACTCCGTTGGGAAATGATGGACGTTTACGATAGATCACCCGAAAAGATCTAGATTTATCTACAATGTGACCACTATCTACCAGGTGTGCTAAGATCGGACTGCATATTATTTTTGACTGACCCTTCGTAAACCATACTGGGAGATGTTCATTCATTCGTTGTGTAAGTTGCCTGGAAGTACGCCCGATATAGCTATCTCCACAGGAGCAGCTGAATTTGTAAATGCACATAGAGTAGGCCAACTCAGGTAACTTGTCCTTCGTTCGGGTAGACATCGCTGGTCGACTGGAGAAAGTCAATGTAAGTTTGGCAGCGTTGAATGTTCTACTAATTATTCTTAATAAGATGATTATTTGAATTCTATTTATCCACCTTTGACCTACTTTATTTATCATATTTTATAAATTTTCCTACTACTATCTGTTCATCTATCTTCCTACTATTCACTTGTACTTTTGCCTTTTTCATTTCATTGTGATTATCACTCAAATTGCATTGATTGGTTTAACATTTTCATATAAATATTCATGTATATTAGAGTAAAGCCTGATGACGATCTAATCGAAAACAATATTGTTCGCTTACACGTGTTGTTCTACTTGATATAAGGTAGATTAAAAGTTAGGCAATAGAAAATTAAAGTTATTTCAATCTAAACTTCATATCAGTAGTATTGATGAAGTGCCATATTTATTGCATAGCATGAAATAAACACTTTAAATATAATTGAATTTTTTTTTTTTAGTTAATACAGAGCGATTTGTTCACACGTACACTGCTGACCTTAAATTCTCTTATTAATTTTCAATATTCATTCTTAGATTGATTACATTTAGTGCATGTTAAATTGTTTTAACATTCGATTCACTTCATCAATTCTGCTTGACCGGAAAAAAAATAAAGTAAATTGATTCTTTGAGAGAAAGCATATAATTATGAAAGGCATTTTGTTTGTAAACTTGCTGAAATTCTTATTCATCGATTAGCTAGCTTTCTATAATGTAGGTGGGATAAAGTAGAATGTGAAGACGAGATTGGACCGACCGCGACGAATTCATGCAGACTTTTAAGGCTAATTAGCGAACAGTTTTCATTAAAGGATAATTGTTTTGCAGACGAAAACAATAATTGACAGACAATATGAAGACAGATTTTAAATCATTATCACGAACATTTTTTTCTATAGGTTCCGCTGACTTTATGTTTATAAAAAACACATATAAACTCATCTTGATGCATATAGTCTATCCATATTCTCAAAGCCCTACAGCTGACCAAAAGAATTTTCACTTATCTCCACACTGTTCCTAGTTAAACTAAAGTATTCAGAGGTAAGATAAGGGGTTTACGGTTAGAGTTTGTATCAAAAACTGACATCAGTTTTAGTGTGAAATACTCTCTAGCCATTCTGATGAACGAATTTCTCCCTGAGATTACTTCGTCCACAAAATATTGCGCTACAGTGTTTGAATTTGCGGCAGAATTATGGGTTAAAATTTTGGTGATAGGCTTGACTTACTTGTTAAATACAATTTAAAATGATGGGTTCGAATCCTGCGGGGTTCAGGAGTCGTGGATGCGCATTGCTGAGGAGTCCCATACCAGGACGAAACGGCCGTCTTTCAGTGCTTCCAGCTTTCTAATGGTGGTCTAACAATGATTGATTGATGATTTCAAATGTGTAAAAACTTATCAATCAATCAGTCAATCAATAGCAACGTGGAACTTCGTATGTAAGTTCATGTTGCCATACCACATTAGCACAGAGATGTAACTGTCAATTCAAATCCAATAGTAGTAGAGGTAGGTAGCAAAGATATTAACAGAAATCAGAGATTAAGATTAAAAAATATTATTCAAGAAGTAGAATCTAGTGAAATAGACTAAGTAAGATAAAGATAAAGTGATGAGGAATTCAGAAGGTTAGGATTTCATAGAACACAAAGTAGGAATGCACCTGCGTCCCCGCAAACAATTCTGAGCCATGTCATTCGAGGTCTCTAACCAACGATTACTAAAATCTGGCATGCCCAAAACAGGTAGTCAGTGACTTCATGGATTTCTGCCATGTTTTGGTTTGGCCACCCCTACCTTTCGTTCAACCTATTCCTACACCACAAAATATAGCTCGTCGAGGCAGTCAGTGGTTAGGCATACGTAACACATGTCCCAACCACCTCAACTGATGAAGTTTCAATACTTCATCTATTGACCTGCCATCCTTACATAGCAATCGTTCCCTAACGACAGTATTGCATACTCGGTTGCTCCACGATACATAAGAAATGCTTAGAAGACACCTATGATCGAAAACAAGCAACGTACGAATATCTTCTACTCTGACTGGTCTTGTTTCACAGCGATATTATAGGACAGAGCGAACTACTGCGCAGTACACTAGTCCTTTAGTCAGAAAACGGATATCTCACGTTCACCATAAGTGACGCAACTTAGTGATCAGTTATAGCTTTCTTTATCGAAATTTAAATCATAATACAAATGGACTGATAAGACAATGTGAATATCAACGAATAACCTTGAGTTATATATATATATATATATATATATATATATATATATATATATATATATATATATAAATGAGTATTTACCATTATGCAAATATAGATAATGGCTAACAGTGGAATCCAGGCTAAGCATTGTGTCTTGTTTATAACTAGACAGCTGGATGTACTTACATTCCTGGTGTTGATCTTTGCCACGGGAGTCGAAGAACCCTTAAGCCATTTGTTTGAAATACAATAATAGCATTATCCACTTAGTTACTGATTTCAAGTGACTCCTATTATTTCTAACACGAATATCTTATTTTATTCAATTTGAAATGGCTTGTATTATTGTTTATTTGCTTATGCAATGGTTATATCGAAGCAGTTTGCACAAGAAACACATATACTTAATTTGATTGATCGAATAATATCAGTCAAAAAAAATATCAACTACACAATAAGCCAGACCATTTGAAAATGAAAAATATAAGTAAACCTAAACATCAAACCATTACGTCACATATTTGGGGCATGTCAAAGTAGATAAGACTGACGGTGTTAGGATATTCACCAAATATCCTAATGAAGAATCATTTTTTAAGTGTAAATTCTATTGCTCGATTCCTGTTGGTCAATATTATGATCGTCATAACTATCGATATCACATATTTCAATGCTGTCTCCTATTGGTCGTACTAACTGTCAATGTCACTTCAAATGTTGGCTTCCTATTGGACGTGTTATCTATCAATTTCATAGACTTCAATGTTGTTTCTTGTTCGACTTAACTGTATAAATACGCATTACCTGTAACGTTTTATGACCCCGGATCCTCAGTTTGGGAACCTTGCATTCTTCTGGACTCTGACCTCGTATTTTCTGGATGCTTGTAGAATACATGTTCTACTTCCTATCAAGTTTCCCCTCTTTTATTCAATGGAGAGGTTGGGACACTCGGATTAGAGTAGTAGCCTGTTGTGTCACCGGATCTTCACTCTTGTTTTCCGATTAGGATAAACTCGTAATGTGGTGTGAGCTACTTATAAGTAGTATATGACGTGAGTGTAAAACGTAATGTCTGGCAGCAGAAGATGGGGGAAGATCAAGAAAGGAAGAGTGGGAACACAATGGAATTTGTATGAAACGCATGAATAGTGACAATGGATTGATGTTTTGCAACAGGAACAGTCCAGTTCGATATGATGAACTGATATTTTGCAAATGAACGATTTAGGATATGGTTTTCCAATTTTACTGAGTAACTCTGTAATTTACGTTAAATACAATTCGGTTGCCCTCACCTGTGTTCTCATTCACTACAGTAATAGTTCAAGCCTATCACAAAATAACATGTTTACATGCATGCGTAACATGTAGATCTCACATTAATAAAAAAAACCGCTTAAAAAAATTCAACACAAACATTTAGTTCATCAATTCATCAAACTTTCTGAACAAAATATGTTTAAAGATGATAATATAACAAACTAAATGAATTATTGACCATAACTCTTTAATGCTTGCTTATATATTTTAAATAATAGAAATTCACAACAATGAACAAGTTAATGCAGAGATTACCACATATTTTCATATTTTTTTTTTTACAAAAAAAGTACTGTCAATATGTGTATAGATATATTTATATATATATATATATATTTATATGTGCATACACTGAAATAAGGCGTGACAAAGCTTAAAAAAATACCTGTTGAATATAAGTAGTATATATATGTATATATCATTGTGCAAACAGGGTAGGTAACACAGACAAATTACACATTCATATATTAAAATTAATGGAATTAATAGTCAGTCATAAGTGTATTATGGCCAATCATGTAGTACTTTTTTTTTGCTTTTTACATTGGACTCATGATAATGTCCTCCAAAAGTAGTGTATACCTTTGATTATCTATCTATCTATCTATCTATCTCTCACTCTCTCAGTCTCTCTCTCTGTACATTTTTGTAAAAGTAGTATATGGAATGTTTTTTGCTGATGGTTGTTTTAAAAAAATATTTATGTATGTATAATAATAGCATTCTTCAAAAACATAAAACTTGACAATTTGTACGGATTTAAAAGACAAAGCAAATTAGCGAAAATGAATTTGAAATTAGTTTGTATGTTTATTTTACTGAAAACAGTGAAGGATATTTGATTCTTCTTTCTTTCTCTCTCACAAATAGTAAACTTTATTCTTTGATTGTTGTCATGATGTTTTGATTTATTTATCGTGATAAAGACCGTAGATTATATCGTCCAAATAGAATTTTTCTAAAAGCATTACGAAAATCCGGTGAAAAGATTGTATAAATAATAGGATTTAATAATGAATTCGAATAACCTAACCATAATATCATACTTTGTCCAAATTTAGTTATTGTAAAATTTTCAGTAAATGGTGAAATTAAGGCAACAATAAAAAATGGCAACCAACACAACAAGAAACAACCAGTTATAATGGCTAATGTTAAAATTGCTTTACGTTCACGTTTTGCTTCCAATCGTTCACGATTCACTTGAGTTTGTTGTTGTACTGATATGAAATTTGAGGTGATTGTAGTTTCATCTTGTAAATTTATTGGTGTAGTTAATGTTGTGGTTGTTGTTGTTGTTCTATGTGATTGTAGTTGTAATTCTTTAGTTACAGTTGGTGTATTCATTGTGGATAAATTTGAATGGATTTGAGATGTTAAATTTGATGTGGATTGAGTTAATAAGATATGTTTATTACTATAAACACTATCATTATTATTGTTATTACTGGTTTTATTCTTATGTAAATTAAACATATGACATAAGTTCTTTCGTAAATTCAACTGTTTCTTTGCTAGTTTCAATGATACATGATTCCCTGTTTTCACGTGTTTTTTAATACTACTATTATTGTTGTTAGTAGTAGTACTAGTAGGAGGAGGAGGAGGCTCAGTGATAGTGGGTGTAATTGTATCCTGTTTATGATATGCATGTGAATACTTTAGATTTTGATTTAATGAATCTAAATACATTCCACAATTGTCATTATTATTGTTATTATTATTATTATTATTCTTACTTGGTGCAGTATAATTTTTCTGTTCATTCAAACAACAATATTTTCGAATATTGACTGTTGAATTTTCATCTGGTAGTAAATTTGTTTTATTCAATTGATGATGATTATGATGATGATGATGATGATGCTGTGAAGAACCAGAAGAAGGAGACGGTGACCCACCACAACCACTACAACAACCGTAACAAGCACAACAACAACGTTGAAAAATTTTCAATCCATCTAAATTTTGATTTTGATCTTTTGTTGACTTTTTAAGTTCATTTCTTTTACGATTTACACTAGAAGATGGATGAAGTCGTCTGTGGAAATGATGATGATGATGATGAGCATGAGGATGAGGATGAGAATGAGGATGTAAATGATGATTACGTTGATGTTTATGATGTTGATGATGACGATGATGTCGTGAATAATGATAATGATTATCTGCTAGAAAAGATGAAGATTCTGAAAATGACGACGATGAAGGGGTTGTAGATGGTAATGGAGATGAAGATGATGACCATATAATTGAATTTGTATGTTCTGTTGATGATTCCGTTAATTGTTGTGAATTGGAATTTGTTAATTCCGAAAAAAATGTACTAGAATTATTATTATTAGTAGTTAAATGTACAAGAATTGGTGGCGCTGAATTTCTATGCGGACAAATTAATCTATGTTCATGTGAATCCAATTTCAATGTATAATTACGATGATAAAATGATTTAGATTTTTTAATTTCTTTATGATTTAATTTTATATAATGTTTACATTGACATGATTTATCATCATATGTAATCAATTTGTCATCTTTATTGATTGGAGGTTTTCTTTCACAATATTGTATGAAATTAGGTTTTGTATAATAAAAATTATTCTCATTCATATTAATTTTATCATTAGAATGATGATTGTCTGATGGTTTGTTTTCCACATCATCTGCATACGGTATAGATGCTCTGATATTGTTGAATCGATTCATAAGAATATTACTACTATTATAATGAGTACTATTATTATTATCAGTATTATTATTCATTATTGCAATGATTGGTATGTCGGTAAGTGAAGTTGTTTTCCGTCCAATCATTGTACAATCAGTATCGGCTACATGTGAAGATGATGGATTCTCCGGATTAATATTACTCTCTGAACGTGGATTATTTGTAGACTGAATTAATTTAACCGAATGCCTATCTTTATAATTACGACATTGAAAACACCAATATGTATTGAAATGTTGTTTAAATGAATTCTGATGTTGTGGTTGTGATTGTGATTGTTGATGTTGTTTGGACTGTGATTGTTTCCATTGTTTCATACATAAACTAGTTGTACCTGATTGTTTAAATGCTGAACGTCTAATACGTGCTCTAGCCACTTGATAAATTCTTGCATATATGCCTATGATAAATATCATTGGCATATAGAATGCACCAATATTTGAAAATACTGTATAACCATGTTCTTGATTAATTCGACAATTTGGCGGTTCATTTAAATCTACCACAGATGAATAGCCACCGTAATTAAATGATCTGGTAGTGTGAAATCTTGCCGGTATTGAAATGAGTACAGATAAAAACCAAAATATCCCAATCATAATACCTATACGACGACCTGTTCTACGACGAATATATTCTGCATTTGTTACAGCCCAATAACGATCTAATGCAATGCCAACTAAATGAAGTATTGATGCTGTACAACATAATACATCGGAACATATCCAAAAATCACATAATGCTTCACCTAAGTTGGAAAATAAAGCATAAAACAAATAAGAACTTATGATGTTTTTGAATAAATTTTTGTACAGGCATTTAAAACTTGATTTTATATCCATTGTGCTAAAATTATGTAGTTCAACAATATTGAATTTAGAGTAAGACATTAACACTGTTGGATGCCGGCTCAGTGGTCCAATGGTTAGGTGTTCGCGCACAAGACCAAAGGTCCCGGGTTTGAATCCTGTGAAGTGTGGGAGTCGTGGATGAGCACTGCCACTGATGAGTCCCATATCAGGACTTGACGGCCATCCAGTGCTTCCAGGTTTCTAATGGTGTGGTCTTACAATGATTGATTGATGATTTCAAATGTGTCAAAAAACACTAATCTTCATAACTCTAATTGAAAAATTGAATTTGAAACGAATATCATCAACGTTATTACGACGCAATGATCATGCAACATCGGCGTATTACCTAAAATTGGAAATATTAACTATATCTTAACTTAATGATCCGAATTGTTAGTCGACTACCCTATATAATTACAGTTGAGCATAAGAGTTTAGGAGTTTCAAAACCAGTGTTTACTCCTTTTTCATTTCCATGAATGTTCAGCTAAATCCAGTCAGCTGAGTAAAAAACTTTTGTTTGAGAGAATTCACAAAAATCAAACGAAAGACTTTCTATAACAGCGCCAAAAAATTAAAACTGAATACCAAATTTTACAAAAAAAATACTTATTAACAATGCCTAAAATGGTCAACGAAATTTTTTAACTTACATCTCAACATAAAAAAGACAGTGGCAAATACTAACTAACTCGATAATAAATACTTGTAATCTAGTAATCTAAGAAATTATATTTTCTGAAAAAAAACTCGTTATTCATGTTATAGAATTAAAATTTGACCATTTACGATTAGATTTATGACAATTTAATCATACAACATCAACCTGTAAAATTTGATCATTTGAACTTTTTTCCAACAAAAAGAAAAAAACGATTTAAAAGTTTTTTCGGCATTTTTTTTTATAAAATCACATAATTAAATTTCGCACTTTTCCAAATGATCAGAATAAAAATTCAATCAGTCAATTTGATCTCAATTTACACGAAAAAAAATTAGGAAATGTGTACAGTTATAATAAGGAGTTATTACTGAACTTATTGTTCAGTAGTAGTATATTTATTCATTGTCAAAATGTCTAAAATGAACTTATTTGGTACAGAAAAAAACTAATCAATTTTATTCTATCTTACATTATTTCAAAAGAAAATATAAAGAATGTGAAAATGACAAAAAAGCTAACTTATTTTTCTTTTTTTGAATAAAAAGTATGTTGTGAGTGTGTAAGATGTTAACAGAGTTGGTGGTTTACTTTGCCTTCAAAAAACATTATTGCACTTAGACATGGATAACCTAACACTTTATTTATTTCGTAAAGAATCACCGAACCGGTATCAAGCGTTATTAATGTCTGACTTCCATCAATTCATGGTCTTACGCAGCCTCATCCACTGTCTTTGGTGGTGAGTACTGTTTCACACATTCGAACAGGGCTGAACTCCATTGGTTACGATTTCTCACTAGAACTTGGAAAAACTTCCTCATGTAGAGCTGGACACTAGTGTGCAGATGATAATTCTCACTAAAGGGTTAGGTAGATTGTTAAGTTACTTTCTTTTCGTAAATTTCAGTTGTTTCTTGCTTATTGCAATTAAGAATTAAGATGTTTTTTTCTAAAATCTGATTTATACGAACAAATATCTTAAAATAATAGTTAAAATAGGTAGGTAACATTCGAGTCATAAGTTCAGTATAAGAATGATAATCAATTATATCGTACATTTAGACTTGCTGTGATTTATAAATATATGTATGATCTGAATCTCATAAAGATCAACTTGTTTCATTTTATGTCACACTATACTAAAAAACCAATTTCACTATGATTTATCTCAATTCTATGTAGTTGTCACAAACCAAGCAAATTATTTCCTTCGTACTGCAATCTGTTCTCTCTGTTTTTAAATAAATAATTTTTAATTAAATCTAGAAAACTAGATATGAATGAATGTTTTTTCAATTAGAATTATGAAGATTTATGTTTTTTACATATTAAAGTCATCAATCAATGGCTGTTAGATCGCCATTAGAAACCTGGAAGCACTGGGCGGCAGTTTTGGTCCTGGTACGGGAATCATCAGCGGTGCGCATCCATGACACTTGCACCTCGCAGGATTTGAACCTAGTACCTTCAGTCTCACATGTAGACGACGCCTAACTTCTGGACCACTGGGCTGGCATTCAATGGTGTTAATGTCTAACTCTGACTGATCTAGAAATTTTGCGTGACCTCACCCATATGTCTTTGGTAGTTTACTGCTGACACGCGGTAGGGTTGAACTCCAGTGGTCCAGGGGTTAGTCTTTTGCGCGCAAGACCAAATGTTCCAGGTTCAAATCCTGTGCGTATGAAAGAGTCTTGGATGCGCGCTACCGATAAGTCTTATATCTGGACGAAACGGCCGTCCAGTGCTTCCAGGTTTCTAATGGTGGTCTAACATTCGTCGATTCATGGTTTCAAAAATGTGTGATTTAAATAGTCAATACAAATGAACTGAAACTCATTTTATTCACACAAGCCAGTGGTACATCCAGCTGACGGATGACAAATAAAATGAGAAACGCACTGTAAATACCGTTACTGGTCTCTCATCCAACTTTGTTGAGAATTATTTGTTTGATAACACGGAGATTACATTATTTAAAATGTTTGTTATAAACGTGAATTTGATCAAGTTAGACATTAACACCTTTAGATACCGGCTCTAACGATTAAGGCACTCGCGCACAATACCAAAGGTCCTGGATTGAATACTGCTGGGTGCAGGAGTAGTGGATGCGCACTGCTGAGGAGTCCCATACTAGGACGAAACAGCCCTCCAGTGCTTCCAGGTTTCTAACATTGATCGATTCATGGTTTCAAAAAATGTTAAACATAAATGTGTCTTGAAAACACAATTTCCATACATATGATGAAATCAAATTTCTTTTCATTTTACCCTTAAAGCCTACATTTTAGGGCAATAACCACAATTTCACCGGTTAAAAATACTTGACACTCCTCTTAGAATTTGAAACATTCTACCAGTTGACTCTTTCAATCATTTATTATTTAATTCATGCGTAAAAAATATCTGGACATCAATTGATCAATGAAAAGTAAGTCATATCATGTTTTTCTGTTCAATCCTAATTTCTATGTACATTGAATTGTTGTACTACAAAGATGAAATTCCTATTAATTTAAAAAAAAAATATTCATTGTTGCCCTTTTGTTGCATATTCAATGTACAATAATGCACATCAATTTGTTTTAATCACGTTTGTCTATTTTGAATTTAAACTTCATGTCTCATTGTATTGACATTTTACAATCAGAAAGCTTTTGTTAAGTAGTACAATAAAACAATGATGATGTCATCTTAGTCATCATTGTATTGCCATTGTATTAAGTATTGTATGAGGTAATTTATCAGGCGCCAAATAGAGAATTCTCATTATACTAATAAATAACATCATATGGGATTTGACAAATTTTAATGTACACATTGATTAATTTTTATTAACTAGCTTGAATTAGGGAAAAAGATAGAAATAAAATCATTATTCATATATGCACACTGAATTACATCAAAACATGAAACAAACTAGGATCAAAATAGAACGAATGTTATTCATAATAATAAGGCTATTCACAAAATATATATAACTTGTTTAATCATTACTTAGAACAACACATATTAAAGCGAACAATATTGTTGTGGTGCGAGCTACTTGTAAGTAGTATATGACGTGAGTTTCAACGTAATGTCTGGCAGCAGAACATGGGGGAAGATCAAGTAAGGAAGAGTTAGAACACAATGGAATTTGTATGAAACGCATGAATAGTGATGACAATGGATTGATGTTTTGCAACAGGAACAGTTCAGTTCGATATGATGAACTGATATTTTGCAAATGAACGATTTACGCGATATGGTTTTCCTATTTTACTGAGTAACTCTGTAATTTACGTTAAATACAATCCGGTTGCCCCACCTATGTTCTCGTTCACTACATTGTTTTCGATTAGTTCGTCGTCATCAAGCTTAACTCTTTAATATACATGAATATTTCATAGATGAAAAAGGTAAAAACACATTTGCTTATTACGTAATGGTTTTGGATGTGTTGTATTGATTACTTGAAGTCGATTCATCCACGTTTGACCTATTATTGATAAAACTTTAGTTATTTAGTTATTTTATAATTTTATTACTACTATCAGTACTCACCTATCTTCCTACTATCCACTTGTTGTACTTTTCCACCTATTCTTATGTAGTGACGGAATCTTTTTTCATTTCATTGTGATTAGTGACTCATAAATTGCCTTGATTAGTTTAACATTTTCATATAAATATTCATGTATGTTAGAGAGTAAAGCTTGATGACGATCTAGTTGAAAACAATATTGTTCGTTTATATGTCTGAATAAAGAAATGAGAAGACATATTTTGTGAGATAGTACCATTTCGTGCTTTCTCGTCAGTCACATACAAGCAACATGTTATTCGTGTAAATACAGTTTTGAAGATAAGGTCAAAATTTCCTATTTAGCATGACATTCACTCACTAGAACCATGGTAAACAAAGGTCAACATACAGTTGTTTTCGAACACATAAAGTTGGACTTTTCCGACCAATCAAGATAGCTCTGAGTAGTTTCAGTGTATGTGGGTTTTGATGACATGTCACAACTCTAAAGGCTGATTTTGGGTCAATTTGATGACCACTCATCATTAGATGTTTTGCAATAGACGAGGCTGGGTTTCTTGATCGATTTTGAGATGATGGGCTAGGTTGATGAATCATGGATTTGATTAGCCATTTTGGAATATGTTCCCCTATCCTGTCTTCCCTAAGTAACTTTCTCCGCAGTTACATGTGAATTGGTAAATACAGTGGGATTTGGACTGAATCGGTCCTGGGGTAACTGAGATCGATTGAGTTGTTGTGATAAGCCTCAGATTAGCTGCATTGAAGGTCTTTTTTATTGCAGCTGCACTC